TTGATGTCAAACTTGAAAATATGCTTCACAAGGTATCATAGCAATCTTATTTACGAAACAAAAATCTGGATTTCAAATGTTGATTTTTACATGCATGAATATATAAGAAAAGAAAAAGTTTACTGAAATTGATGAAAAAAATCCTTTAGTTATTTACAATTTTTGAGTTGATGTACACAGTTCTATCGCTTTTTAAAATAATTCTCCATACAATTTGAAGTTAAAATAAATATGAGAAAAAAATCAGACATAGTGCAATGGATGAAGTTAAAACACCCTGTGAGAAAAATCATTAATCGCGATATGTTGACATGCAATTTGCAACTCATCAAATGATCAAGAAAGATAAGTATGAGAGGATATAATAGAAGTTGCTTTTCTAATTGCTGTTCTACATGTTATTTATAAGATACTTCTTGAAATGCTATCGATCAATGTCATGTTCTCATTATGATGACTACAAGAACTGAGAGAAAATCGATTCAAGATACGTGACCACATTCACACATCAGATATATTGTTTTATATATTCTAGTAGAAATGATATTAGTAAATAAAATAATAATAGTATTTATCCATTGAAAAGATTCTTTACATTTCGATTTGTTCGAAATTCATATCTTCAATAACCATTATGTTACAAACGATGATAACGCATATATTTCATTAGTTGCATATATTAAGAGAAACTCGTTCGAAAAAAAGTTGATTGAATTATACTTGAATCGAAAATAAGATAGATTCGTGATCATAGTTATTTGCAAAAAAAAAAAAAGAAGCAAAAACTTAATCTTGATCTTATCTGCGAAATATGATAATTGAGAGAAGATTGACAAAAAAATATAATCACATGGCCTACAATTGAAATTATTCACTATCATTGATTGATCAATAAAAACAAAACGAAATTAACGATGATAATCAAGTATAATATGTAATGTTTGTGATGACAAATATGTCAAGTGAAAATAAGCTAAAACAATAGATGACATTCTACCTGTTGTTTTTGGTTTTTTTTTCGTCTATGATATTTTCGATCGTGATGATTATACACCGATGATAGTTGCTCGAATAAATGAGAGAAAAGTCGTTTTGACCATGGCCGAGCGATATTGATTCGTTTGTACCGCGAAACACCTACCTCTTTATTGTCATATGAAAAGCATCCAATTGCGACGTATACTTATCGATAATAATTACAACAAACAGTAATATAAAGATTAGTGTTCTCTGTTTGTTTCTCTTCATTTTTCATTTTCGATTTCGTTGATATGAAAAAAAAGCAGTATATTAACGTTAGTCGTTTCTGAGTTGACGTGTTGTCAACGCTCGTTATTCTACACTTTTTCTCTTATTTATATATTCATTTATTATTACTGTATAAGCTACTCTTACCTATTCATTGTCTATGCAATCTCTCTTTCTCTCTATCTAGTTATTACAGTGATTATGTTGATTTATTTTTATTTTGTTTTAGATAATAAAGAAGATATCTTCGCAAAATCAAATATAGTTATGTTTTGCTTGAAATTTATCTGTATTCTGCTTTTTGTTGGTATATTCTTCAATGTTCAAGGCTACGAAAACGAGAAAGAATTTCATCCGAAAAGCTTGGTTCGTCGAGCGGTTGTTCCTGCCATCTGTACTGATCCAAAACATTGTATGTCGGAATGGGGCTTCTGTGGGACGGGACCAAACTATTGCGGCGCAGGGTGTAGAGCGGGTCCATGCATAACAACAACAACAACAACAATAACAACAACAACAACAACTACAACAACTATTAGTATTACTGCTGGCGATAATAATGGTGCTAATGGTGTAGGTGGCCGCTGGATAGTCTTACTTCTGGTACTTGGCTTATTGTTTATTGTAGGTGACTTTATGAATAATAAACAATGATTAATTTTTATGTAAAACTCATTACATTATTGATAGACTTTCCAGAGTCTATTTAAAATGAAACTTACTGATAGAATTTTTATTTATATCCAGTTTTATACCCAATAGAGTGAGAGTGAAGATGCACTTGTGTTCTGCAAAGATATTGTTCCCTCGTAATATTTTTTTTTTCTTTACGCTGATTGAATGTTCAATGAAGACTAGAAAGAACATGTATCGACATATATTACTATGAGATTTCAGCTGAAGTATGTCAACGTTTTTCTAAATAATATTGTCGGTCGTTTTACTTTCTAAACGTACATAACGAAAGTCCGTATTTTATGTCACAATGATCTCAAGAACGAAAAATCAGAAAATATTCGTTCAAATGCACGGATGAAATTTTAAGATCAAACCGAAGAAACCTTTTTTTTCTGGCTCTTCATATAATGATTCGTTTGTTGAGAAATAACTCCATGACAACGGGAAACTTTGGTGGAATTGTTTTGTTTTCAAGATTGAAGATAGCATAAAAAGCTAGCCATTACTAAATGTGTACAAATGAAGTGATGCCTTACTGTTGATAATAGATAATGAATCACGCAGATAATTAAAATATCAATCATTAGTATTGTTTAGAAAGTTGCTGATATGCATTGATAGAGTTATAGAAAAAATAGATTTCAATCAACTAAATATTTTCGAAGACAAAAAGTATCATTTACTTTTTGAGAATTATCGGTTTCTCGATCATCAACATGAAAAGCGTCTTTGGGTTGTTTTTTATAGTTTCAGTGGGACTCGAATGATACTTAATTTCTCTAAACAGATTTGGTCCTAGATCATGTGATTTATTTAGTTTGATTATTTCGAATAAGTAAGATTGACAAAAAATGACTGTTCTTTATGACATATTTATAATATTTGATGACATAAACAAAGTACGTTGAAATCCTACTAGGTGTTGAAGTCATGCACATATGATATATGCTCCAAAAGATTGATGTTTGCATTTACAAAGTATTTTTGAAATGATTATTTGTAATAGATCATTACTAAGAAAATTTTTTGCTCTTTTCTGTATCATGCTCTGTTAATCCTTCAGAGAATGGGCGACAGTACGAAAAAAGTTACCCTACTGAAAAGAAAAGAGTAGAGGATCAGGTCATCGACATAGTTTTAGTTTATGACGAACAATTATTCAAAAGTCTTTTACATGGAAATTGCTGTCAGCTAAAAAAAAACTCGTACACTTTTTATATAGATATCATGTTGCTGGCTGAACTGGAAAAAATCATTTAAGCATCCATTAATCATCACAGTTATCAGAACATATCTAAGAATACAATAGAATCTATGATTTTTGCTAGAAGTTTTAATAATGTATATCGATAACGTTTTTTTGTGGAAAAATACTCAATTTATCTATAAAGATCGTTTACTAAAAATAATAGATTTTCTATATAGAAAAAAAGTAATGCTGACTTTGAAATAATCATTTGATAAATCATTTTTGTTAACAAGTAAAATTTTTTCCAAATGATGAATACATTCGAACAATTCAATATTGTATACATGAAAGCCATAATATCAATAAAATTTTCTGTATAATATTGATGAATATCGCTTTTGCTATAAGAAAGGAAAATATCACAAACACAATTATATGTAAATTATATGATTATTTATTTTCGCTAGATTTATTATGATAAAGATATTTTCGATCTTGCTGAAGAAAGGGCAAACCATAGAGATTTGAGTTTTATCTTAAAACACGAGAGAGAGATAGATTATTATTCATCTTAGGATAGGTTTTGACTTACAAATCTTTATCTTCGAGATGAAGAATAAACTATATAATTGTGAGTTGAAATTAGGACACAAAAATTATAGGAGAAATTTTATTTAAGAATTTTAATGTTAGATACAAAAAATAAATTACGAAGCTATGAGTTATAATCGAAATTTAATAATTACATACTTCATAACTTTAGAATAGTTGTTTTGCATGATTTTTCTAACCTTAGATATGAAAAACAAAGTGTGAGTGTGGGCGGATGTTGATTTGTTTTGGGTGGCCTATGAATGTATTGATGTTATGATAGGTGAATTTAGGTGTGGTTGTCAGTGCGTGGGTAACAGTATGATTGGTTGAATATGTGAAGAGTATCAACACGTGGTACGCACAGAGACATCACAATCGTCACAGAGATAAATACCCACAGCAGCAATACCCCTTACCGACTTTCATGCATACATTTGATATAAATATCAATTAACATTGTAAAGCACTATAGTATACAGAAAGACTTGATCATTCAATTGACGGTCAAGTTAGTCTCAACGACGAACGTTATTTGTTATTATTGCATAGAAAAATGTTTATTGGTTTTGATTGCATTCGTTCTTTTATATGAAATTTAATATTTGAATGAGCTTTTATATTTTGAAAAGCAGCAGTAATATATATGATTTCTTAAGATTGTTAATTTTTGTTATCATTATGATGATAGTAACCCAAATTGTTAACTATTTCATGTACAATAGTTGCAGTCCAATATACGAAATCCGAATCATTTTCAGCAGATGTGTTTAGATAATATTAATTTAAATAAACTTGAGATTTGCCCTTTTCATCGAAAGCTAAGAACTATGTGAAATACATAAAACACATGTAAGAAAACTTCTACCATTCACATCATTTTCACTTTTTAATTTAATAACTCTTTAATGGTGAGATACGAGACATTAAAGAGGATTCATGTAGGCTCGACTTATTTTATTTTATTATCTTTTCTATTGTTTCAATGTAGCGCTCTTTTCTGCTGAAGCTCATTATCAGGTGTAGCTAAGTTGTTAGTTTTTATTATCTTCTCGTACTATCATTCAGTAAAACCTATTTATAATCCTGTTTTAATTTGTTAAACTTCAACATTTCTTCAAGTTAAACTTTTCAATAAATTTTAAATCAGTTTAAAATGCCACGATCCAACATCAGTATGCAATCCAAGGAAAAATCTAAAATTTCAAAGCGAGTATCTAATAATGCTATCGTCAAACAGAAGCATACAAAAATAAATGCATCAAAAATAACAAACAATAATCAAATTGCAACGATGTCTCGTAAACAACTGATTGATTCATTAGCTGAAATAGGTATATTAATTCCTACTGGAATAAAAATTGATGTGTTACGTCTATTATATGAAACTAATATTATCGAAGATCAAAAGAAAAAGAAGAATACAGTTTCAATTACATCAACAATGGCTAATACTCATCTTCATCAACATGCTGCATCGGCTGATGATTCTTCGGATGATATGCATCAAATTGATGATATTAATATTAATTATAACAAAATGACTTCAGCCGATACACAAGATGAAGAAGGAAATCATATTTTTCCTCGTCAACCAAAAATATCAAATGAATTTTCTCGTCAAGCTGAAATAACAAATAATATTAATAATAATCCTGGTAAGCCATTTACATTGTTTTCGGCTCCAACGGCTGAAGAAAACTTACATTTTGGAAGTAGTGGAGTATCTGTACGAGGAGAAAATGATCTTGAAACTGTTCCGAAAGGTTTAAGAAAAGCTATTATTGAAGGTTATAATGTTAATTTGGTTCGTCTTCTTCTTCCTCGAGACAACAAAAAATATAGTCGTAATGATGATGATGATGATGAAGACAAAAATGTTTATCTTAAACAAAAGGATGATCCTCGTTTAGATAAAAATCTTACTATTCTTGAATTTATATTAGCTTTTACTCGTTATTTAAATATCATCTGTGAAGTTTTTTCTCAACGACGTCGTGAATTAACAGCTTATTTGTGTAATATAATTCGTTTATCTTCTCGGTTTGGCCATCCTTTTTTCTATCATTATCACCGTTTATTTGCTCAAAAAGCTGAAACTCTCTTGCAAACACGTAACATTTTGATCGATTGGTCCAAAATAGACCACGATATTTATTTTAATGTTTTCTCTGGCTTACGACCAATTGTTTGTGATTTATGTCGAAGTCCAGACCACTCCACATCTTTTTGTAAAAAAATACTCAATCGGGATGATTTGATCGAAAAAATGTTATCGGAAAATCACGATCGTTTTACATTTTCAAGAAGTGCCCAAAAATGACTATAAAAAATGTCTTAACTTTATTTTATTTTTATTTTATTTTTGTTGTATTAATTGTTTTGTTTTTATCACTTTGTACTTTGGCAGTAAATACATATATGCCCAACTCGCCACTACATTAATAACAGTTTTTTCATAGAGAGATCGGCATGAAGACACATTAATAGATACTGTAATCACAGAAAAAAATGTGTACTATGATTGATTAAACGTTTTAGTAAATTAGAATTTCACCATACTTTTGCTGCTAAACAAACAACATTTTGACTCTATAATCTCAATACATATTATATAAAAATTTTTATTTGAATAATCTGCATTGCTTTATTAATAAATATCTTTTTGTGTGATGTAAATTCAACATTAATTATAAATGTGATTTTAGCCGATTTTTTTTTACTATTTGGTGACATCGATCTTTATTTTAAACAACAATGCATTTTTAATCGCATATTTGTTTAGAAGAAGTATAAACGAAGAAGATGAAGGTTGACAAACAATATTGATAAATGGATTGATGACTGAGAATTAACAATTATATTAGAAAATTCATATTACTATTCCAATTCGAGAATTTTCTTAAGCTTAAATAAAATTTAAAAATATAAATTATTGTTTCGCTCTTTCGAATTCTTTTTTAGATGCAATATTTTTCTTCTTTGATTACAAACATTTGCATATACAAATTAAAATCTGCATATGTTGTTTCGAAAATAAAAATAAGACTTATATAACGTTTGAAAAGTTTCTATTTTTGAACTATTTTAAGCTACATAAATAAAAAATACAACAAAATGTTGTCCATCAAAAGCTTTATCGCTATCAGCTTTGGTAAAATTTTTTAGATACGCTCTTGACTCTTTCATGGAAAAATAATTTGGAAATTAAAATTTTTATAAAATAGAGTCTTTTGCAAGAACAACCAGTTTTGAAGGACATCAGCCACAATCTCTAAAAATCATATATAAACTAGATTCTTTGCGTGATATTTGTTCGAAATATGTCACATCATAGAAACTTAGCAGAAGAAAACAATTCAAAAAATACGTTTTTTTTTGTTGCAAAACGGTCAGATAGTTAAAACTACTAAATTCTACAGTCTCTTTCAGAAATATCTACATTTTGTTATAAAAACCAAGTATCAATTTAACTTCCAATACATCATTGGAAAGAGCACTCTTTATGCTATAAAAACAATGTTTTCATCTTACTTCCGTTATAAAAAATTTAACGGAAAATAAAGAAAATATGTTGCGCGA